TTCTTTTAGTACTAATAGGGTCTCTTTTAAATCATTTTGATCTCTGATAGATTTGAAGTTTATTTATTTTTATCTATAGTCTGAGGTTGTAGCCTAATTTCATCTTTTTTTCAAAGAGCTAATCAGTTGCTCTGGCACTATTTATTAACCAGCTCATCTTTGTCTGAGTGATTTGCAGGGCCACTTCTCTCGTATACCTGTGCGAAACTGTGTCTGGACTTTCTGTCCCATATATTGCTGCATCAAATAAGTACACTGTTTTAATTATAATGGGTGTCTCATGTTTTAATATAATTGAATATAGTGTATCTTAATAAGGTCAGTAGTATGTTTTAATATAGTTTAATTAGTATATTCTAATAGGAAAGGCTGGTATCCTTATACTTTTTCTTTTTTAGTATTTTCTTGTCTATTTTTGCATTTTTAAATTAGATCTTTTTTACTTATTCCATGTGATGTTTAATGTCCATTTGTCTAGCTCCATTAGAAAATAGCTTATTGATACTTTTATTGGAATCATATTTAGTCTGTAAATTAACTGAAGGAGTATTAGCATCTTTATGATGTTTAGTTCTCTATCCAATTACAAGGGATATATTTATACTTGTTCAGATCTACCTTTGGGTATTTTGAAGTATTTTAAAGATTTCCTCACATATTTTGCTAAACTTATTCCTAAATATTTTATCTTTCTTGTTGCTATGGAAAATAATATTTTCTCTAATATTATATCTTCTAAAGTTATTATTTTTACATGTGAATGCTATTCATTTTTTTATTATATTGTGGTACTTTACAGAATATGTTTATTGTTTGACTTAGTAGGAGCATTAGTTTATCTTCTTTTCTTCTGTTTATGCTTTTATTTGATTTTACTTGTCTAATTGCATTGGCTCATGCCTTTAGTGCAACGTTAAATAGTATGGAGATAGTAGGCATTCTTGTCCTGTTCCTGATCTTAGAGGAAACACCTTTGGTTTTTCTCCACTAATTAACTTTCTGACTTTAGGATTAAAGTCTATATGTTTTATCGAATTAAGAAAGTATTCATCAATTTCTGTTTTCTTGAGCGTTTTAAACAAATATCAATGTTCGTTTTTACCAAAAGTATTTTCAGTCTTGGAGATAAATATCATTTTTCTCTTCAAGTCTATCACTATGGAATATTACTGAATTTCCTAATTGTGAACCAGCCTTTCATTCTTGGAACAAGACTTTTCATTGTGTATTATTTTTCAGTATGGCGTTGGATTCTATTTACTAATATTTTATTTAGAACTTTACCTCATTATTTTTAAGTGATGCTCTAATGATCTCTAATTATGTTTTTGTACCATTTTAATCTGGATTAGCCTGTAATGTTATATTATTGTTCTGTAAGCTAATGAAGTTTTTCCTCATTTTTAATGCTCTAGAACAATTTTAGAGCATTGGTATTACCCATTTTTTGAATTTTCATAGAAATCCTCTTGAAATGCTTTCTCAGTAGGGTAGTTACCTGATAAGTTTATTTTTTTCCCAAGGAAATAGATCTATTTTTAAACATATATTTTTCTTTGTAATCAGATCAGCTTTTATAAACTATATTTCTGTGACAAATTGTTCATTTATCTGGATTTTCAAATTTATTAGAAGTTTATAGAGTTTTATGATTTTTAAAAAAATTTCTTGTTTTAAATATGTTCCTCTTGTCATTTAATTTGTGTATTTTTACTTTTATCTTTTTATTGTTACTAAGTTCACTACTATTTTGCTTAATTTTTTAGAAATTTGGGATTTTGATTAATTAGATCTTTTTTTCTTAATGCGTCACTATCTGCATTATCTTTATATTTTTGTGCTCATTCAGTTTTTTTGTTTCTATTTTAGTTTATGAGCTGGAAATTTAATTCACTTATTTTTTAATTGATTTTAGTGTTCAAGGCTATAGGTTTTTTTCTAAACACTATTTTAAATGTATCCTATAGATTGATATGCAATGTTTTAAGATTATTATTTCTTTAAAAATTGTAATAAATCGACAGTGGGAAATTAAAATTATATTATGATTAGGTAGGTAGTAGAGTAGGTTAAAAGATTCCCAGAAAAACTTTTTTTGAATGTTGTCAAATGATAAAAAAATTCAATGACAGTTGCCATTTACTAAATGTTTACCATGAATCTATCTGGTACAGCCAGTTCATTTATTTACATTAGCTAATTTATGTGGTGTAGTATTTTGAAGTACATATTATTTCCTCATTTTCAGAAGAAGCAGTTGTGGTTTAGAGAGGTTTGTGTAATTTGCCCAAGGCTGCATAACAAGTAAGTGGTTACTGTTGAAATTTGAATCCATTTCTGACTCCCTAGCTATAGCTTTTACTTAAGCAGTAATATTATGAGGTCACAGAGGTATTGAACAGTATGGCACAATCAAGGAACTGTTAGTAGCACAGCATGACTGGAATGAAGGCGGCACTTAATCGTATCATTTCTGACTTGGGCAAAGTTCTTTGAGATGCTATTAACTAAAATGGAGAATATGAAGCAAAGCAGATTTATATAAGACAATGGGTAAGTTTGATGTAGACTGCTAGACTGCTAAATAGGACTATCCAATAGATGAGAATATGCATCTGGAAGTCTGCAGAGTGGTTAGTGTTAGAGATATGAATTTAGGTGTCATTAGCTTATAGATGATAATTTAAATAATGGGTTTTGAAAGTGGTAAGAATATGTAAATATTGAGAAGACCAGAGTGTGTAGGAAACTGAATTTTAAGATTGAGTGGGGAAAGACCCTGAAAAGGAAACAAGAAAAAGTCAAAATATGAGGAGGAAATCTAGTAATAGTAGTTCTCAGGTTCCGGGGGAAGAGTTTCAAGGTAAAGGGAGAGTCATTGGTATTATGTGCTCTGGAGAACTAAAAAGAATAAAATAAGAAGTGTTTACTTGATTTAATAGTAACTGAAAGGAAAATTAATGTCTTAATTGATGGGTCCAGTGGAGCGGTGAGGGTTGGCTGAAGAAGAAAATTGAGACAGGAGTCATTTGGAGATAAGACATTGGCTGTGAAGGGTAAGTGTGGTAGGTGGTGATAGCTAGTGGAAAGTGTGAGGTTGAGGGCCTTCTTTGACCTCTTTTTACTTTCCTCCCTCAATCTCTCCCTTCGCCTTCTCCTTATTGTGCTCTTATTTCTACTTTCTTTCCCTTCCTCCCTTCCTTTATTTTACCCACTTTCCCTCCTTTTTTTCCATAATGTGATATACTTGAACATTTAATTTTGCAGATTGAGAATTTAACTTTGGTTAGCATGACTTCTTGTCTTAGATTTTGGCTATAAATATAAAGACATAAAGAGATCTTAAAATGTTCTGGTATTAGATCAGAATTATATTTTTAAGTTTCTTGAACCCAGGTTTATAGTGACACATACCCTTTATGCCCAGAAATAAACATACTTGTCCAACAAATTTTAATCTTTGAAATAATAATGAAAATAATATCGACACAGTGCTAAAGCTTTACATATTTTAGTCAATTTAAACTTCATCAGCAATTCTATGCCAATTTTACAGATGTGGAAACTGAAGAAAGTTAGTAAACTTGCCAGTTGTTCTATACCTGCTACGTCAGTATGGTTCCAGAGTCTATGCTCTTAATAATGCTCTTTCTATACTATAGTACTTATTTTCATGCCTTTAAAATTAGTTAGTAATATTTATGCTATAAATTATAACTTAGAAGTTAGAACATTTTGACATTTTATAAAAATCTGTTAACATATGGAATAGTAAAGATCAGAAAAAAGTAATTTCTAGAAAAAAGATACATCAGGTACAAACATGAATTGAAATTCCAGTTTTCTTTATTAAAACAGTGAAATGCTTATGGGAGAAGCTAGAATACCTTATCCAGTATGGCACATAGTATTTTAAAAAACACAGTGTTGCTGTAAAAGTATGTATAAGATAATTAAATTACTTCATAGGGTGCCACTCAGAAATTAATATATTCTTTAGTTTATTGATACCTAATGACTGTATAAATGTCTTTCTTCAGGCAAAAATGCAATTTCCATTGTGAGCTGCCTTCCAGAATTTATGGTAGAACTTCGCTGACGTTGCCACTGATGCCAATGTGGAATAAAGGTCTTTATAATTTAGAAAGTCAAAACATACAAATGGATTAATGCTAAAAATTTACCCTTCCGAAACTTTAAACACATAACACAAATAAATGTATTTGAATTTTTAGAAAGAATATTTGAAAATAAAGTAATATAAATATAATCTGTTTATTTTGCCCTCATCAATATTTTTGTCTTATTTCATGCTTGGCAATTGGCTTTCCTTACATGACCTTTGTATCAAACCCTAATCACAATCTAATAATATTTTGTTGTGAAACAAATTACTGAATTGTGTTTCAACATAACTGTTTTTATAGAAACAACTCAGCAATCTAAAATTGACTTTAATATGAAAAATCTCTTGTTGAAAAAGAAGTTAACACAGTTAGATTAGTTATTTTAAAGTAATCGTTCTTCTCCTTAGCTCACTTTATTGTAATAAATAATTGATTTGACTTGCCTACTGGATCATAAGGTCATTGAGTACGTAGATTCTTGTCTTGCTCACTGCTGTCTTCTCAATGCCTAGCGCCTGTGCTAGGCAATAGTAGGCATCCTAGTGCTTTTTCTTAACTAACTTGATAGATAATATGTTTGAGTACTTTCTCTAAGTTGGAAATGCACTTCTTATGGTAATGTGTCAGTATGTAAACACTAAAACATTATTAAATTGTTTTATTTGCCTGGGTTTCAGGTGGAAATGTCGTGTTAAATTTAGAAACACTAGTTTTAGATTTCAGGTAATGGTCCTTGAGGAATGGTCATGGAACCTTCACTTTCAGTCTTTTTGCTTTTACTTCCCATACCTTCTCCCCTTTCCTTTCCTCTACTCTTCTCTTCAATCTGTTCTTTATTTTCTCTTTAACAATCTTTTTGTTTGTTTTTCTTAGTATCTGGAGTCCATCTTTCTCCAGCTTCTCCTGCAATTGTCCTGGACCATGACCACTCTCCTCCTCCAGTTGGCTGCCTCTCTTCTGAGCCCATCATTTCATCACCAGAGATTACACATGCAGACAACAGCATTGTCGGTCAAACTGTTCCTAAAGCACAGGTAAAGACAAGTGTATTTTTATAGGAAATTTGCATACTTAAAATCTCACACTGATTTTAATTGAAGCTTTGAAGATTTTCTGATTTACTTTTTTGAACTCCCTGAAATATTTCTGTAGATATTCTAACTTTGAAGCTAATATATAGAATTCAAAAAACTAAATAATATGTTTGTTTTATGGCACAACTGCAAGATAATTAATGTTTATTGGTTCAAATATTTATTGATCCAGGTATTATGCAAGATTCTGGAGTTAGTCCAGATTTCCAGAGTGCTATACACAATCTCAAATCACCTATTATTTTTACTAGAAAGTTTTGATCAATGATAGGTTATTGATAACTTTAAAATTCTGATTTGCAGTTTAAAATATTAGCAAATTCTGAGTATGTGTGTAAATTCAGGAACTCGTATCAGATGTGTCTATACTTATATAATTTCAAGCATAAGAAAAAGTTTTAAGTTTTTAGTGCTTTCCTGCAAAATAATAAATGCTCTAGACTCTAAAGTTTAGTATAATTTCAGGCTAAGAAAAAGTTTTAAGTTTTTAGTGCTTTCCTGCAAAATAATAAATGCTCTAGACTCTAAAGTTTAGAGGAAGTTTTGTGTCTTACTACGAAGATCAGGTTGTTGTTAACAGTTAGAGGTCTGTTGATTTACTTAAAGGGTGAAATAATTTCGGAACCCTTGCTACAACTTAATTTCCAAATGCGGTTTCTGTTGCCCTTTGAACGTTTTCATTATTGGTACAGTGTAAACTTTCCCCTCTGTATATTTTTTTTTTAATGTGGTTTAGATTCAGCAATCAACACACACTGATCTGGATATCTCACTTTTTCCATTGGGTTTAACTGATGAGAAAAGTAATGGAACAATTGCTCTTGTGGATGATTCTGAGGATCCTGGTGCCAATGTATCAAACATACAACTTCAGCAGAAAATTTCAAGTCTGGAGATTAAACTCAAAGTTTCTGAAGAAGAAAAACAGAGAATTAAAAAGGTATATTTACATTTTTTCTAAAAAAATAAGTGTTTGAATTGCGCATTCTGGAAATCCGATATAATCCTAATCTCTGATTAAAAACTCATTAGTGGAAAAAGGTATTGTTCTCCCTTGGCTATGAATTTAAGTCGGTTGTATGAATTTACCACTTACAAGTCTTCGATAGGAAATATCTAGTCTTAAATGTGTACTTTTTAAAAAAGATATGAACATCTTTTACTAGATACTTTTTTCCCTCTAACTAATGCTTTCCTTTTGGTTTACTTTTATGTACTTTGAAAGCAAGTAGTCTTGTATTTGTTATACTGATTAGGAGATTTGTAACATTGCCTTTTCCCTATGAGAAGTCAGGCATTGTGGGATATTTGACAATGTACTTATTTGTATTTAGGTATAAAGCTGTTTTAGTAAATTATTTATGTTCTCGTTTCTGTTCCCTACAAATAGGTCTATAAAAAGACCTTAGCAAATTTATAGAAAGTATATGTAGACGTAGATTGCGTTGATTTCAGTTAGTCTAATTAGATGCTTTTATTCATTTATTAGAATGAATAATTTTAGTGTTTTATCAATGTTCGATATTGGGCTGGAGAGTGAACCATGGCTCTGTAACATAGTTGAAATACTGCCTATGAGTATATCTTTACCAGATATTTTTTGGTATGCTCATTGAAAAAACTAAATATATTTTATCCTATTAAATATTACATAACTTGTGCTTGAATTTTTCTTTTAGGATGTGGAATCATTGATAGAAAAGCATAGTCTCTTGGAAAAAGATTTCCTTAAAGAAAAAGAGCAAGAGGCCATTTCTTTTCAAGATAGATACAAAGAACTTCAGGTAAACTGAGTGTATTTAAAATTTAATCTGTGAACCTTTGGTGAAGCATGCAACATAACTTCAGAAAGTGCTCAATAAACACATTATGAATGAGTGATCAGATACTTAAATATGTAAAGTATTGACCAACACGGTTGAAATTAGTGATAAATGCCATTTCGAAGGGTGTGAATCTGTGAGAAGCTTTGAGGGTTAGTTGTTCGAGACTCAGTTTGGTGAAAAATATTGTTTCTGATGGATAAAATTTGGAAATTGGACATTCTGATTTTTCTTATTTGTGATTACATTTGAACAGAGTTTAGAATCCTGTAAACCCCAAATGGAGATATTTAACCTTTTTCATAAAATGTCTCCCTCTCATCCTCAAATTTTCTTATTAAACTTTGTTTTTTTCTTTTCTGTAGGCTTCCCCATCTTTGTAAATGGCGACTTGATCTTTTCCAGTTGCTAAGGCTAAAACATACATTTATTCCTTTTTGTACTACTTGTCTGTTCCTTCAGGAAAACCTGTTAGTTCTATCTTTAAAATACCCATATTTTGACTGTTTATTATTATGGTCACTGCCACCAATCCATCTTTATTTCTCTCTTGGAACACTAAAGTATCTTATAACTAGTCTTTATGCTTCTGTCATTGCCTTCTTACAGATCATTCTCCACATTGCAGCCACTGTGATCTGTTTAATATTTAAAGATGGTTATGTCATTCTCCTGCTTTGAAACATTCAGTGGCTTCTCTTTTCACCCAAACTAAAAGTCCAGTGAGTCCTTAAAATAGTTTGCAAGGCTCTATATTCTTTTATCCTTTTTCCTGTCTTCTCCGTGCCTCTTTCTCCTCAGTCATTTTGCTTTATCCCCATATCTGGAACACTTTTCCTTTAATTTTCTGCACATTTTCTTTTTTATATTATTCAGGTCTCCATGCAGATTTTTCTAGACAATACTGACATCTCTTACCAACCTTCCCATATTATGTTGTTTTTCTCCATAGCACTTCTTCGTCTGACCAACTATATATTTACATGTTTATTTGCCTAGATCATTTTAATAGTCTCCTAAGTGGTCTTCTAACTTCTATTCTTGCTCTTCTCCTTCATGAGTTTTTATTTCAGCAGGTAGAGTAGTATTTTTAAAAATGTAAATCAGATCATTTTTCCAGCCTCAGTTCTCATTCTCCTCCCAATGTAAATCTTCTTCCTTCTCCACCTTTTTCAGCTTTCCCACAGCTATTTACTTACAACAGACTTCATAATAAGGTCCAGGTGAATGTGTGAGCCTGTTGCGGAGGGCATTCCTTGGCTGTTGGAGTGGTGAGTGGAGGGAAATGGTTTACGATTTAGTCACAGTCTCTCTACCAGAAATGCCCTTCTTCCGGATATCTGCATGGCTCTGTTAAAAATTATGCAAAACATAACAGGACAAACAAACAGAGACTCACAGGCATGGACAATAAAACATGAAAATAAGGAAAAGGCTGAGCAGTGTGTTTTTTCAATGTTCTATGGAGACATTGTTTAACAGACTTACCCAAGGATTATTTAGGAGAATGTACTTTGTTTGACTGATGGTTTGCTATTGATTAAAAGTCTCAGATGTTTTGATGTTACATGTTAATAATTTTTTTCCCCAGGGGAGATGCAAATAATTTCTGTCTGTTAGAAAAGATAACTTCAAAGAGTACAGTTATTGCTCTATAGAACATTCATCTGTTTGGTCTCTAACGTGGCACTCTTTCTTAATCTAACAACCCATTATTTAAATTTGTATATACACACACACACACATATATCTTCAAATGCTCCTTGAACCAGTCTTAATTTCTGATTCATTTAGTCTAAAATGATTTATTTATTAATAAATAAGCAGAATAAATCTTTGGCATATGTTCAATTTATATGAATCACATTTTAACTTTTCGAAAACTGTTCATTAACAACTCTCAGTGAACCCTAGCTTCCTTCAGATACCTGCTCCAATGCGACCTTCTTTTGGAGGCTTTCTTTAACCATGCTATAGAAAATAAGAAACATGGGCATGCTCAGTATTCCGTAGCCCCCTTTCTTTGCTTCTTTACCCCTCCTCATAACATTTATCTCCATCTGTTATTTCATTTCGATTTGTTTTTTTTTTTGTTTTCCTCCCACCAGCATGTAAGCTCCACGAGATTAAGAACTTTCCAGTACCGAGAGCAATACTTGGCATGTAGCGTGGGCTTAATTAATATTCTTGAATGAATGAATGAACTGATATAATGTACCCTGCTCACCAAGGGCTAAGTACATTGTGCAAGGCCACACTTACCAGCCCCATATTTGGAATTTTGGTGCTTGTTAGAAGGCACAGTACTGAATACTGACAGAACTTTGTGTTTTCTTCAGTCTATTAATGGGAACAGTAACATATCTGAGAGATCATCTAGAACCTGACCACTTGAACTTTTCACAATGAAGACCAATATAAATGCCAAGGGACATTATCATTGTCTTACTGCTTTTACTATTAGTAGTGATAATTTAAGAGTAACAACTTGAGTTCAATTTTAAAAGATCTTCCCTTTTTACAAGAAGCAGTACTTCCAAAGAAACCTTTTTTCCCCCAGATGATTTTACTGTAACAACACCAAAAAGGGTCTTTCTCCTTTTTATACCATGCGAATAAATGAATAACCTAACTTATGAAGTATTTTATCACCTTGGCTGAATAAGTGATAGAAAAATATATTAGAAAGTCTAATACCAAACTGAACTCAAGGGCAGGCATCCTGTTTAGCTTATACAGATTTGCCTTACATCACTTTTTGAAAGTTCACCTTACGCCACTCACTTTTATGAAAGACCTACATTAATACCTGTTTTCGCTAGCTGAAAGAAATCCAAAAAGGATTTTCCTCTTTTATTTTGAAAAAGGCAAAACGGGAAAATAGTGGTCAGCATTCATTTTGCAGCAGCCATTATGAAGGCAGCACACACCCCGAGCATGAGAGTGGCCCCTCCAAGCCCCTTCCTGGGAGCCACACTGGCTTTGAACTGTGTCTCTGAGCATCTGTGCATTATCTCCATCTATTTTGTGCATCCATTAGCGAGATGTGTCCTACGGTATCAGAAAAGCCTAAGAGATCTCGTAAGGGTGTTAAACTTAGCGTGAAACTGAGCATAATTAATTACATTTAGATTGTGGCGAATGAAATAAAAATATTGTGCATGCATTGAATTTTGGGTCTGGGAACACTCAAAAAATTTCCACATAAATTAATGGTAATTGCTTCTTCCCTTAATGCCTTTCGGACTTAGGAAAGGTTTCATAGGAATGTCCTACTTTCAGATAGTGGGGGAAGCCTGTATGTCACTGCGCCATCTCTGAGGAGAGCATTTCTTGTTCTGGACTTCTTATTTTGTTTGTTTTTCAACCTGTTTTCTCTCCGTTCAGATTGAGTAATTTTTATTTTTCTGTCTTCTAGGTTCCTGATTTTTTTCCTCTGCCCCTTCCATTCTGCTGTTGAGCCAGTTCTTTGTTGTTTATTTGGTTATTGTATTTTTTAGTTCTTAAATTCCCATTTGGTTCTTTATATCTTCTATCCTTTACTGAAACTTTCCGGTTTTTTCCATGTTTCAATCATGTTTGTAATTTCTTGTTGAAGCATTTTCGTAATGGTTGCTTTAAAATCCTTGTCAGATGATTCTAACATTGATGTCATCTCTGTGTTGCTGTCTGTTCATGGCCCTACCAAGGTTCAGATTTTCCTGATTTGTGGTATGATGAGTGATTTTTAATTATATCCTATGCATCTTGGTATTTTGTATGACACCTTGTTTAAATCTTGTATTTTAACAGGCCTCCTCTGAACTGCATAGGTTGGGGAAAGGTGGGGTAAAATGACAGGTTTCTCACTCAAGGCGCCTTTGGCACATTGGGCTGAAGGGATGCCTCCTTATTTCTGGGAAAAAAATTGGAATTTCAGGATCCCCTCCATAGACCTTGGCTGATAACCACCCTGACTGGGAGGAGGAGAGGGCCTTGGTAGCTGTTCCCCCATGTACTTGTCCTAACACCACGGAGTCAGGAGGCTTTGTTACCTCTGAATGGTTGTAAAAATTCCGGCTCCCCACTCGGCTTCTTCTGACACAGGAAAGGAGAGGGAGAGGGAAACTCCTTACCTCTGGATGGGGATGCAAGTCCTGAAAACGCCTCCAAACCACACGGTTTCCTTTGTTGCCACTTCAAAGGGCAGCCAGGGTGGCACTTTAGAACTGGTTGGAGGTGGAAGTCTGAGCTCAGCACTTGCCTTTGCTCACAGAGCTGGAGGTGGGGTCATATTGTTTTCCGTGGGGCATGCCTATCATAGGGTGTTTATTATCTAAATGTTTTCTATTCTACCCCTTTCACGGTGCTTTGGTTAGAGAGGGATGGCTTTTCTTGGAGATGTTTTTGTTTGTGCCCATTGGCATTTCCTGGTTGCTGGCCATCCCATTACCCAGTATGGAATATATGAGGTCAAAATAAAACTCATAGAACTAACCTCTGTGTCATTCCTTGGGTACTCAGGTCCCTAGGAGGTCTGCCTTTCCACCACCTTCTAGAATCTTCTTACTTTTTTTTTTAAGTTTATTGGGATAACATTGGTTAATATAATCATATAATTTTCAGGTGTACATTATAATTTGACATCTGAATATTCTATTGCATGTTTACCACCCAAAGTCCAGTTTCCTCCAGCTACCATGTATTCGATCCCCTTTACCCACTTCACCTTCTCCCTCCTCACCTATATTTGACCCCCTTTACCCCATCTACCTCCCCTATCCTCTGGTAACCACTAGTCTATAGTCCATGTCCATGAATCTCTGTTTGTCTGTCCTGTTCATTTGGCACTTTTAGGTTTATATTCCACATATAAGTGATATCATGTGATTTTCAACTTTTTCTGTTTGGCTTATTTCACTTAGTATGATTATTTCAAGGTCCATCCATGTTGTTGCCAATGACATTTTTCATCTCTTCTT